TTGAAAAAAAAATAATTTAAAGTAAAAAGAATACACTATCACAGTGTAGTGAAATTTCAAAATACCAAAGGGAAGATCTTAGAAGTAGCCAGCTCATCTTACTATACAGATCAACTGAGTTCTCAGCTGCTATAATGAAAGCCAGATGACAGTGGGATGATATTTAGTTGTTGTTGACCAAGTTAGTTCTCTATCCTTATGTGGCGTTTGGAAATGTGGGAGTATTTTCATGTCACAATGATTGAAAGAGTGACTGGTAAGTTACTTAACTTCTCTGTATCTGTTTCCTTTATGGGAATAATAATATTTATCTCATGAGGTTGTTGTGAAGACTACAAACTATTCTAAATACATAGAAAGCATTCATAACAGTGCATGGCACAATAAGAAGCTCAATGTAGCCCAGCCAGTATGAGTAGGTGGTTGAACATTGGCCTATGAATTAGGAGGTCATGATTCAATTCCCAGTCAGGGCACATGCCCGGGTTGTAGGCTCACTACCCAGTATGGTAATGCAGGAGAAGCAGCTGATCAGTGATTCTCTCTCATCATTGATGTTTCTCTCTCTCTCCCCCCATCTTTCTTTTTCTCTGAAATCAATCCAATATAATAAAAGCCTAATATGCAAATTGACTGAAAGGCAGAATGACTGGTGGAACGACTGGTCACTATGACGTGCACTGACCACCAGGGGGCAGACGCTCAACACAGGAGCTGCCCCCAGCCCACAGGGCCCAGGCTAGCTAAGGTAGGTGCCAGGAGGGGCCTCCAGATTGCCCTGCTGGTTGCCCCACAGATTGTCCCTGATCGCCAGCCAGGTTAGGGACACTACCCATGCATGAATTTTGTGCACCAGGCCTCTAATAAAATATATATTTTTAAAAAGAAGCACACAATGTAGCTGTGATTATTATAGTATCCTGGAAATACCTCTGGTAATGCAAGGAGGAGTTAAGACAATGAAAAATTGTCTAACTCAAATTTCCAAGTCCCCCACTGAAAAACACTAAAAGCCTACCCAACAACTTTTTACATTATCCTGTTGTTTTTCTCCGTTTTACCTCATCACACCCTATCCTTTATTCACTCACTTTTTCATCCAACAAATAGTTACAGAAAGCAAGTGCCAGGATCTAATGTTTGCATTGTCTTATGATTATACTAGAGTCCCAGTGCATGAAATTCATGCACTAGGCCTCTAGTGCATGAATAGGCAGTGTCCCTCAGCCCAGCCTGCATCCTCTCCAATCTGGGACCCCCTGGGGGATATCTGATTGTCCATTTAGGCCCAATCCCTGTGGCAGTCAGACATTTCTCTCACAATCCGGAACTGTGGGCTCCCAACTGCTCCTCTAACCGTTTCTGCCTGCCAGCCTGATCACCCTCTAACTTCTCCTCTGCCAGCCTGATCAACATCTAACTGCTCCTGCCAGCCCAGTCACCCCCAACTGCCCTCCTCTGCTGGCCTGGTTGCCTCTAACTGCCCTCTCTGTAGCCTGATTACCAACTGCCTTCCCCTCCCAGCCATCTTGTGGCAGCCATCTTGTGACCACATGGGGGTGGCCATCTTGTGTGAGGGCATGATGGTCATTTTGCATATTACCTCTTTATTATATAGGATTATCGCAAATTCCTTAAGGGTATATGTGGCAGAAACCAGCTAGTCTCTGGCAATTGCACTTCCTATTCCAGTTTGCCCTCACCCATCTCTTGCCATAGACTTTGCACTAAACAAGTAATGGGAAGATGGGTATGAGGGCAGCAGGAGTCACAGGGGAGAGGAGGAGGAGTGTCTCAAGACCAGCAGCTGGAAGGAAATGAGAATCTCTGCTCAGCATTCCAGAGCAGGAGCACTGAGTAAATACTATTTGTAAGTTAAGTTTAGATACTTTATGGATTATTGTATGTGTCTTAATGCTAATACACATGATTAAATATTCTTTTTAATTTTTATAATTCAAATTATTCTGAAGGTGTTAATAAAGGAAGAATAAATCAAGCTCTTAAGTTGATATTAATTCTGTCTACATTTGGAAAACATGTATGTGTTTTACTTATTGCTATTTTTCTTATATTTATCCAAGATTCCATTGGAAATAAGCAGTGTTGTAAGTGCACTGGTGTATCCAGGGAGATAGAAGCCTACTTTTAAACATATGGCAAAACAAATACATAAAAGTATTTGAAAATGAATTTTTCCAATCACGAACATTTTACCAATGCTGGGATAAGCACAAAAGAAACTTTTATATTATAGCTCTCTGGTAGTGCTTTGATTTAAGACGAGAAAATGCTGGTAATCATTTTTCCTTTCAGTATTTCACTTACAACCTTTGCTCTTTTCCATGAAGGAAAACACTTTTATGAGACTATAGATTTAATTGAAGAACTATCTATTTTTATATATCAGGTTATAAAAAACAATTTATGTTCTGATTTTGTAAAGTGCTCTTCTTTTCAGAATAATCTTTATAATTTTCTTTGATACTCCCCACAAAAAGCTTTTTTTAAAAAAAAACACAACATTTTTAAAAATTGATTTCAGAGGGGAAGGGAGAGGGAGAGAGAAAGAGAGATCAGTGATGAGAATCATTGATCAGCACTCCCCACTGGGGATCGAGCCCACAGCCTGGGCATGTGCCCTTGGCTGGAATTGAACCTGGAACCCTTCAGTCCACAGGCTGGTGCTTTATCCACTGAGCCAAACCGGCTAGGGCCAAAACACTTTTTAAATGCATAAACCCTGAAATATTTCATAGGATTATGTTTCCATAAATTTAATATTGTCTCTTTCTGAAATAAAAACTTCAGACTGAGTTTATATGTACTAGCTACCACATTTCAGGATATGTAGTGATGGCTTCCTTTTCATCCTCCCAGGAACCCCGTTTCAGAATCATGAATATACATGACATACTTCAGACTGACATTGGAGAATGGGCTTACTTAAAGCCAGATGATACAAGAAGTGGGAAGGAATTGAATTAGAACACAGGCTTTCAGTTTCTACCATGTTTCCTCGAAAATAAAACATCCTCCGAAAATAAGACCTACTTACAGGTTTCCTTCTGAGTGAAATATAAGGCATCCCCCCTAAAATAAGCCCCCACCTCGCCCCAGGCTCTGTCTCAGAATGAAAACTAATTTACCATAAACTGGTCGCTAGGGCCGCCCCGACTGGCCTCTAGCAACCAGTGAAGTTACGCCGAGTCCTGACATCACTGCTGTGTGGCGGTGGAGAGGAGGTTGGAGTGAGCAGGTGAGCGAGGGGCGGGAGAGAGGAGGAGACTTTCACAGATGCATGTAGAACAGAAGGATTAGAGCGGACAGGATGCCGAGAAGGTGGTGAGTGCTGGTCTGTCTCTGGTGACACTACCTGATGCTTGCGGCCGCTCTCATGATGACTGAAGGTTCTCAGTCAGTGGCAGACCCTGCTCCAGCCCAGATCCAGGCCCCAGCAAGCCCAATTACAGTCCCCAGGCAGGCCCCAGGGGGTAAATATCTGATAAAGGGGTAGGGGGGATGTCTGGTGAAGGTGTTCAGTGACACAGGGGTGGGGGAGGGGGATCACTTAAAATGACACAGGAGGATCAGAGGAGACAATCAAAATGACACAGGAGGATCAAAAGGGGTTACTAAAATGGTAATCCCCCTCTGATTCTCCTGTGCCATTTTGATTCCCCCCTCTGATCCCCCCTGTGTCATTTTAAGTGATCCCCTCCCCCCACCTTGATACCCCAATTCCTTTTTTTTACCCCTAGAAATGAGTGCAAAAAGAAAAAGCTACTCCGTGGAGTACAAGAAAGGAATAGTGGAAGACTCTTGGGGCCAAAATCTTACTGCTTTCTGCAGAGAAGATGTTGAGTATTCGATTCAAAAATGGCGAGCAGAATATGGTAACCTCATTGAACAAGTGGACAAGGGAAATGCTAAAAAGCGCAAGTGTGTATCAGATTGGCAACCACTATTTTCCTAGCTGGAAGACCTGATCTGTGAATGGTTTGTTGACAGGAGAGCACAGGCTTTGGTTGCGAATAGGGCTCAGATCAAGAATTTGCCCTTGCAATGGCACCACAGTTTGACATAGCCCCCGAAGACTTCAAAGCATCACAACACTGGCTGGATAATTTCCTTCAGCGAAGTGAACTGTCTTTAAGGAGATCTACAACATTGTTTAGGTTGTAAGATACTCAGGTTATTAAGCGAGCACTTGCATTCAAGACCTTTATTGATGATGCTGACTTCTCTAAATACAATCTTTCCAACATGATGGCTATGGATGAAACTGCAGTGTTTATGGGCCAATCATCTCAAACAACAATTGAACAGTGGGGTGCCTCCTTAGTGTACATTCCCTCTACTGCTTACAAAAGTGCACGTGTGTCCTGTATTTTAGCAATTCGTCCAGATGGCACTAAAATCCCACCTTTAATCATTTCTAAGGGCAAGAAGGAAAAGATTGAATGTGTTTTGGGCGTTTTTATTCTTGAAACTGAAAAAGCCTGGGCCACACAAGCAGTTATAAGGAAGTGGGTGGATTTAATGCTGCTGCTTATTATATTTGAGGGAGCCAAAGAGGTCTGCTAGTCTGGGATGCAGCCAGCACTCACTGCGCTAAAGATATGAAGACATTTCTTCACGAAAGAAAAATAGATCAGATAATGATTCCCGCAGGAATGACGGCCTATCTCCACACTTTTTTTTTTTTTTTTTTTTTGTGGGTTACTGCCTTTATTGCATCTTTACTGAGTTTGAGAAAATGCAGAACACAATCTCTAATATACATAGAAAAATAAAATTTTGGCAAAACAAACTTTAGGGAAATTAAATTGTATACTGATATTTTTCATATGTACTCAGCAGTGAAATATATTAACATTCTAAGGTGTTACTTCCGTGGTTATAAAAAATTTTAAGTTAATTTACAGTGCATATTGAAATAATACAAATTTAAATTTTTGTATTAATAAGGAAGCCCCCATATGCTAAAGTAGCATTAATGTCATTCACATCAGATTTTAATTTGTTATTCATATTTGTAGTTCAGCAAATGCCCTTGACTATGAAAAATAATTAAAAAGTATTTACTTAGGACAAAAATAATGATCTATATAGAAAGGGGGGGAGGACAAAAGACTTCTTTATATGCTTATTTAATTCAGATACATAGAATTTTTCATAAATTTTCAAGGAAATATTAAGACACTAGTAGGAAATCATTAGACTCATTAGTTGGAAGTCAGATGCTCATGAACTCTTCCGTCCATTTGGTTTTAGGAACCGAAACTTGGGACAGTTTGTGGAAAAGTTGACATTACCTTTATGTCCCTCAGTATCAGATCGCATCCATTTACTGTGCATTCAGAGTAAAGACCATCACGTTTTCAATAGTGCAGGCTGCCCGCTTTAGTCCCACAGGTGCTAGCACCCGGAGGAGCGCGCACCTGCAGGCCCAGGCGCTGGGCCAGGCGGTGCTGGTCTGGTCAGGGGACTCCGTCCAAGCTGCTGCCACTCACCCCCTCGTCGCGGTGCGGTGAGCGCGCTCAGCTCTCGCGTTTAATTCCAACAGACTGACGGCTCCAGCACCGTCTAAAGAGCAGCCAGCAGCGCAGCTCACATCTGTCAGCTCTGGCCTGGGCCTCAGTGCCTTCCTGAACCACACAGTGTGGAGATGGCAGGGGAGGGTAAGGGGCGGGCGGGCAGAGCTGAGGAGCAGCATCCGGACGTGGGCATCAGGAGCTGGCGTGGCGCCGAGCAGCTCTATAAAACTAGAGCCGCTAAAGTCTCACTTCCAAAGTTAAGGGAGATCGTTTTCCTGGTCGGTCAGTTCAAGGGAACAGTAAATAAAGTAGAAAAGAAGAGTTCTTTTGCATATTCAGTGAGAACGGAACCTTTTATGTTTGCAGAGGTGCGGACGCAGAGCCTCCGGCCACAGCTCCTCTATTCTTGTCCAAACCCCTCCGTCTCTTCTATGGCAAAAAGCAGCTTTTCCTTCAGTTGCTCGTAACTCTTATATGGCGGCAGGTCCAGGCGGTTGAAACACGTGTGGCTTCTTGGTAACGAGGTGTCTTTCCCATTTTGAGGCCCATTACTTCCCATGAGCTCGGCGAAGCCGCCCAGGGGCAGGCGGCAGGTCCCCGTGACAAACTGCAGCAGACGCGTCCTCACCTCGTTGTCCGTCTCCTTCACAAACTGCCAGAACCAGATGATCTGCTTGCTGTTCCGGGTGTAGCGCCGGTACACGGTGTTCCGCTGCCAGTCGGACAGGTCCACCTCCTGCATGCCGCACAGCATCACCTCCAGCTCCTTCCTGTCGAAGTACTGCAGCCACTGCAGGGGCACCACCTGGTTGAAGCCGTCCAGGAAGGCCTGCGTCTGCTCCCGCACGCCACGCGAGAAGCGCCACTCGGTCATGAGGCCAATGTACTCGTCCTTGTTGTCCTCCGTCACCAGGATGCTGGCGCCGCCCGGCTTCAGGTCATGCGAGGCCACTTTCCTCAGGATCTCCATGTCCACGGAGAAGTACATTTCTAAGCCACATTCTTCGATGTCGTTGTCTCTTATCCAAATAAGGGAGTTATAAAACTCAGGATCGATGGATTCCAGGTCCTTAATCGTCAGCTTTTTGCTCAGCGTGCGCTTGTAGAAGGGCAAGGAGAAGCCAGTGTCGATGAACTTCCCGTGGAAAAGCGCCATGGCGATGAAGAGGCCGATGAAGCAGAAGGAGGAGAGGTGGTCCGGGTTGATGGTGGACGCGGGGATGAAGCAGAAGTAGGAGAGGTGGTCCGGGTTGATGGTGGACGCGGGGCTGATCTGCAGGCAGTAGTTGTTCTTGCCCGCGTACTCGAACAAGCAGTACATGGGGTTCAGGACTTCGTGGGAGAGCAAGAAAAACCATTCCCTTGCTAAGCCACCATAATCAAGTCCTTCTTCTCCTCTGAATATTATAATACATAGAGTCGCCTCCTCAGGTCATAGGGTTTTAATGCCATAATCTGCTGGAAGGAATCTTCGAACAGCGTCTGCAGGGACACGTTGATCTTCACGTGGCTGGGGAGCGCGTTGGACTGGCACAGGTACCGGAACTGAGCCAGCTTCCACCGAAAGCTGCGCTCGTAGGCGATCTGCGGGCCGCCTTTCGTTACGGACGACTTCCCGCTGCGTGGGTCTTTAAAGGTGGTGGTCCGGGTGTTGTGGTCCACGAAGTACCGCACGCCTTCCCGCGTGTACCTGATGTCCCAGCCCTCGGGCAGGGGCTCTTCGTTCTGTAAGCCGTGAGTTCTTGGGTCTTCCCACTGCGTGTTTTTGTGTTATGATTCACGAAGTAAACTCTGTCTGTTGAATCTACTCTTTTTTCCCCAGCCTGGCAGCAAAGGCCCGTACGGGTCGCTTTCTGCAGCCAGCACCGAAGCCGAGAGCCTCCCTTCCACATAAAAGAGCGAGCAATTGCTAGAGAGCCATCTCCTTCCCACGTCATGGCCCTCTCAGTCCTTCTGTCCTCCTTCCTTGACTGGGAGCAAGGCCCAGGACAGCAGTGACACAGGATGAAGGTCAGGAGCAGGACTCCATGGGGGCTCCACACTCTTGATATTGCAATAAACAAGCCATTCAAAGACAATGTGCACACGGAAATTAATGACTACATTGAAAATAGAATGGAGAGAAATCAGCGTGGAAACTTTGTGAAACCTAAACTGCAAGAAGTTGTGACTTGGGTGAAGAATTCATGGGAGAAAATCACTGACAGTTGCATTGCAAATGCACTGCGAGCAGGCTACCTTGACAAGAAGTACTCATTTAAAGACAGTGCCATTGCTAAACATGAGAGATTTGGTCCACTGATTCTGAAAGAAATGGAGTCACAAGAAATTCACCAGGAGATTCAGGAATTGGATTGTTATGATGATGTTCCAGAAGATGATGACATGATTGTCATTGAATAAATGAGTAAATTCTTGATACTGTAGGATTCACAGTTTGTCTGGCTTGTGTTGACAACTACTGTACTATCGTACTACCGTACTGTATACAGGTAATAAATTTTCTTTATTTTCATTTAACAATAAATGTGTACCATATTCTTCTTCATGGAAAAATAAGACATCCCCTGAAAATAAGACCTAGCGCATCTTTGGGAGCAAAAATTAATATAAAAGACTGTCTTGTTTTTGGGGAAACAGGGTAGTCCATAGACCACTGAAGGTTTTAAAACTAAGTAAGGAGTTTATATGCCCATTAAACACTAATTTTATTTAGATTTTTAAAAATGCCTTATAAATGTATGTATTAATAATTATCAGATTTATGTAGATGCCCCTAAAAGTAATAAAATGTCAAGGTGTTGCTGAACTCATGGTGGCTGTTGTCACTATCTGTTCCCCATCAGTTACTTAAAAAAATTTTTTTTTAATTGATTTTAGAGAGCCCCACGCATCAACCAGGAATCATGGTTTGATTCCCATCAGGGCACATGCCTGGGTTGCAGGCTTGATCCCCACTAGGGGGCGTGCAGGAGACAGCCAATCAATGATTGTCTCTCATCATTGATATTTCTATTTCCCTCTCCCTTCCTCTCTGAGATCAATAAAAATATATTTTTTAAAAATTTATTTTAGAGAGAGAGGAAGGGGCAGAGAGAGAAACATTGATCAGTCATCTCCCATAGGCCCAACCAGGGGTCTAACCCACAACCTTTTAAAATCTATATTTATTATTGATTTTGGAGAGGAAGGGAGAGAAAGAGATAGAAACATCAATAATGAGAGAGAATCATTCATCAGCTGCCTTCTGCATGCTCCCAACTGAGGATCAAGTCTGCAAGCCCAGCATGTGCCCTGACCAGAAATCAAATCCTGTGACCTTCTGGTTCATAGCTCAATGCTCAACCACTGAGCCACACCAGTTGGGTTCAAACCCTCAAACTTTTGGTGTAAAAGATGATGCTACAACTGAGCCACTGGCCAGGGCACCCATCAGTTACTTCTTTTTGTTGATGTTGTTACTCTTCACCAAAGGATATTTTTTCCATTGATTTTTTAGAGAGAAGGGAAGGGAAGGGTAGAGACACAGAGAAAGAAACATTGATGAGAGAGAGAGAGAGATTGACAGGTTGCTTCTTGCACATGCTGACTGGGGCTGGAGATCGAGCCTGCAAACGCTGTACATGTCCTGGACTGCACAACCTGAGACCGTTCAGTTCAAAGGCCAGCGCTCTAACCACTGAGCAACCAGCCAGGCCTCAAGTGGAATGTGCATGAGTCCCAATACCAGAGCACAACCAGAGGAGGAGTTGGTCTGGGTTAGAGCAGAAATGTCATGTGATGTCAGAAATTTCTGTTTTAATGGAAGCAAATAATCTGCACCAAATGTTCTCCTTTTTTCAGTGAGAGTTGTCATTCTTTCCTTCTAAAGACCAACATATCTTGGTAAAAGCTGCTGAAGTAAGTTCTCCATCAAGTTACAGATTGTTGTTGGTAACCAGAAGCCCAGCTACCTGCGGATTAGTCTCCCTGGTGATATTTGTATTACTCAGATTCTTTTTCTTTTCTCTTTCTTTTTGACTATAAATATCCTTATCTGACTTTCCACCACTCATTTTAACATCCATTGATGACTTCCTAGTTTCATCTTTCCTTCTATACTTATTAGTTGGGTTTCTACTGTAAAGTAGTGCTTCTGGTATTTATCCATTTATCTATTCGTATCAGGAAAGACATTAATTTTATTCAATGGTATATATGCCATTATTATCATTATTTGCTGTGTAAAGAAAGATAATTCATCACATCATGTTTCCTTTAAGAAACTATTGTATTTTGAGTGCTGTATTCGATTTCTATTGCTGCTTTCACAAACCCCCACAAATTTAGCATCTTAAAACAACACAAATTTATTATCTTCCAGTTCTGTAGGTCAGAAGGCTAATACAGAGATTAGCCCTCTGTCTCACTGCATGACTCATATTCTACATAGTCTTGCTGCAATCTCTGTTGTAGGACCCTCCAGCCTGTTGGAATATCCAGGTGCTTCAGTGTGTACTAACGGCCTTTGTTGGTGTTTGCTTGAACTGTAATTGAAGACAGTTGAAACCTGTGGATATAGGCTTTTCTGCAAGAATAAATCTGTGTTATCAAATACTATAATTGAGGCAGGTTTTCTTAGACCTGCTCTGCTCTGGTGGATGGTTTATTACCATCCCTGCATCTATGTCCCAGCTAGTCCAGGGCCATACAGTGTCATAAAGTTCAAGAATGAAAATCAAACAGAAATGTTCTCCAAAGGAGAACACAGCTCTTCGTAGAATGTTGTTCCCTAGCACCATCCATGGAAGGTGCTCAAAAAATATTTCTTGAATAAAAGTCCTTTAGGGACTATGCAGCAAACCATTCATATGAATAATTTCCAATTCCAATACATAATGATGAGGGAACTCTAAGTTCAAATATATCTAAATGAAAACCTTTGAACTTTATTTAAAATTTTTTTTTTATTTTTTTAAAACCTTTGAACTTTAAATAATGGTTTCAGTTCTTTAATTCAACAGTGCTAAATTAGAAATGTTTAAATCATTTTGTGAAGTGTAGTTCTGAATGAACTCTGAAAGATACAGACTGTTTTTCAACTCAGAGCAATGAGGAAGCATTACCTAATTCATGGCCAACTTAAAAAAGGACATTCTCTGTAAGTCTACATCTGAAAAAGAATGGAGAACTACTTTGGAAACTTTCATATTATTTTGCTATATGTTTTTAAAAAAGACAAAATCAAAGAATTGGTTCATTACCTTCGTTTTTTAAATGCCAATTTCAGTATTTCTTTGGTAATGTACATTCTATTAGTAGGAACTAATGCATTGCTTGATGTTTTTTAAAAAAGAAATAGTACTTTAGAAATTATAAACTTCAGAGTTAATACCTCTTCCTTCCAATGACGCTTAGAAATTGCAGGCTTAAAAGTTCAACCACTATTCCCTCCAATCAGTTAAATTTAATCATTACAAAATATTTGTTAAATACTTCAGGAACAACAGAATAATAAGCAGCAGGGCTTTGTGAAGAAAATATCCTATGGGACCAATCTAGCTATTTTGCAGAATGACAGAACTAGTCAGAATAGATACAATTTATCTCAGCTTTAATAGGGTCACTTCAGGAATGGAAATCATGACCCTAGAAAAGTACAGTCTGGCATGAGTGTCAGCCCTTCCTTTCTGTCAGTCTCTAGGCAGACTGTAAGGGAGCTTTCTGCACACACTGCTTTTGTGGTTATGGTAAGATTTTGTGGCTCATAGCCACCGTTTGGTGGCACACACAGGAGTGAGGCATTCTGATAAAACCATGCTGCAGAACAGGCCAGCAGATACTGCAGCCAAATGGCACAAGCTCACAGTGGGGCTTTTCTGGTCTGTCTATAAGCAAAGATAATGATGCCTGAAGAATGAACTCAGTCCAACAGCAATACAGATCAACACCCTAAACAGAGTATGTGTGTGTGCTGCCCCCAAAGATTGCTTCGTTGAAGTTATTATTCAATGGAAACATTTCCCAGAGGCAGTGGGTAGGCAACCCTCAAAGGTATAGTAACCTATAAGCCACTTATTTTGTAGAGTTTATGTTATATTTTCATATTACATGATGATCATATTGGAATATAGAGCATGTAATTTAAGATCGTAGGTAATTTCAAAGTAGAATAAGATATTTGCCACTTTGATCAGATATTTTGTCTTAATCAGAAAAAAAGTGGAATTCAGTTTAAATATTCATTAATAGTTACAAAATAGTCAGGAGGATGTAAAAGTACAGCATAGGCAATATAGTCAATAACATTGTAATAACTATGTATGGTGCCAGCTGGGTACTGGAAATATTGGGGGAAACACTTTGTAAAGTATGTGATTGTCTAACCACTATGAGGCATTTTAATAAATGAATAGAAAATAATATTGAATGTAAACTGCATTGAAAAATAAAAATAGAGATTTATATTCATAAAGTGACCCTAATACAGAAGAAAAAAAATACACTAATTGAATTCAAGAATGCATGGCTCAGCTAAAGAGAAGACAGTAATCACAGAGAACACAAATAATAGCCTATTGGAAATGCACAATATTATTTAAAAGTGCATATAATATTGGGATTCTAAGGACATAGTTGTCAAAAGAAAAGAATTGCCTTCAGCTCTGCTACAAATATTAAAGTGTCTTATACACAATTTATGAGAGACATGAAAAACTTAGCATTCACAGGCATGGATTTAAATGATTAAGGGCTTGCAAATAGGTGGTAAGAGGACAGGTTAAACGAATGGGATCATTATCCGGTAGAAGAGAAGACTGGGATGACCTCAGCCTTCTAATTTATAAAGGAAGATTATGCAGATGGTGACCAGCTGTTCTCCACGTCCGCTGAGGACTGAACCAAAGGAAACGGGTCTAAACTTTGGTGGGTGGGATTTAGGTTAAATATGAAGAATAGTTTCCTGACAGCAAGGGTCATAAAGTGCTAAGTGAATTCCTAGCGGCGTTATAGAATCTCCTTCCCCAGATAGCTCTTCAGGACACAAATCGCTTTACCATCTGCCAGTAGCGAGCACACTGTAGAGTTGCAGGGACAGGCAGTAACTCAGAATCCTGTCTTTATGAGTTAATATAATCCAATGTGATATTTCCTCCCAAACAGATTTTCACGTATTTTGGTCCGGGGGATTTTGGGTTTTGTTTGAGAAGTGATGTGGTGGTGGTTGAGAATTTTACTCACACCAATACATCTTCTATAAAAGCTAAATACATTTCCCTGTGGAGTACTTCATTTAAAAATATACGTGGCTCATTTTCTAAGATCTCTAAAAGTATTTCAGCCTTGTAGGACTTTCAGACAATTGAATACTGCCTTATCCATCACGCAAGAGGAGGTGTTGTGAGAGCTGACAGTTTTTGCTCCGGTGTTGTTATCACACTGCAGATAGCTACAGCACTGCTTCTAGGAAACCCTGGACCTGTCTATTTTCACATGGTGGGGATATTTCAACTCAATAAAACAGAGGCTTGAGAGTGACTCACAACATCCTAAGAAGATGGGATGTGATCTTCAGTTTGCATGTATTTAACCTTTCTCATTTGAAAGAAGAAAAGATAACTATTTTAGGTCTTGGGGCAAAAGATTTTAGCTCTGTATATCTGCTTTTCATATCTGAGCACTGCCCTTCCCCACTTATCTTTTTTCCTAAATAAGTAAATAAATAAAATACAAATAAATAAAATAAAAATACACATTAAAAAACCCTCTTCTCATTAATAGGTCTAAAGTTTATTTGAAATGTTCTTGAAAGAATTATTGATTTATTTTCATGTTTTTAAAAAATATATTTTATTGATTTTGTACAGAGAGAAAGAGAGAGATAGAGAGTTAGAAACATCAATAAGAGAGAGTCATGGATCAGCTGCCTCCTGCACACCCCCTACTGGGGATATGCCCACAACCAAGGTACATGCCCTTGACCAGAATCAAACCCGGGATCCTTCAGTCCCCAAGCCGACACTCTATCCATTGAGCCAAACCGGTTCTGGCTATTTTCATGTTTTACTTATTTGTTTCTTCACGGGTATTCTCTTCATCTCTGGAGAATAAACAGCTTTCAGGTGGTAACTATTAAGGTATAAACAAAATAAGTAGTAATGAGTCCTAGTCTTAGATTGCTTTTAATAGTTTGTCTGTTTCCTTTATTTCTTTTTTGACACAGAGCCACCTGCTGGCAGTAGAGAGTTAACCCTGAAAATATTTTACAATGCAATTTCATTCATGTGTATAGAAAAAATACTGTTGATGAGGCTGTTCCTCAGGATGGTTTATAGATTTCATTGATAGTAAGACTGTTAATGAAATTGAATATGTTAATGTTAAATTTATGCTATGTTGTTGAGGCAAGGGCATTTTTTAAAGCTGAGAATGACTGATCAAATGGAAATGTTCACAGGAAAAGCTCATTAAGAGCAGAGGGGATAAAGGTATGGTGAAGAGAAGGGAGAAGCAAATCTGAAGGTTCTTGAAAGGCAAGAGAAAGATTCCTGAACACAGATGGGAAATCAGTCGAGATGAGAGAAGAGGACACTCCTCAGATGCATCAGGCAAGGATGGGGAGAGAAGGTGAGAGTTGAAAATGGGGAATTAATTGAGAAGATGGAATAAACATCTAAGGCAGTGATTTTCAACTGGTGTGCCACAAGAATTTTTTTAAACAGCAATACCTGACTATTTTAATCAGGGGCATGGATCTGTTTTCCCTTATATTGTCAAATAAAAATATGACAACAGACAACACTACAATAGCTATCTATTGTGAATGAATCAAAATTATACCTTTTTTTGGTCAGATCGGCAAAAAATATTTTTTTGCTGTGCTGAAAAATTTTGGTAATTAGTTTATGTGTGCTATGAGATGAAAAAGGTTGAAAATATCTAATCTAAGGAATTCAGGTGACTAGAGAAATATAAAATAGTTAAGCAAATAAGAAAGCAAGTTGCCTAGGAAACACACTAGGATTTCAGGGCCACACTGAGAGCTCCAAGTTGGTGATCATAAAATTTTGGTGGTATTGATATGCCCTGGCTGGTGAGTTTTTGGCCCTAATTGCTCTATTGTCCAGATAAGGATATAGAAAAGTGAAGAATTGGGATCACATTGGAGGGGTTTTTGCCAGATAGAAGAGATAAGAAAAAAAAAAAAAGAGAGAGAGAGAGAGTTTATGGCATTGACAAAATTGTTCTTAAAATTATAGACCATGGAAAAGAAACTAAATAGAAGGAAAGTTAAACATAAAGGGGAAGATATAGACATGGAGACTGGTCCTCCATTGGAGGGTCCAAAGAGGTCAAAGAATTGTTAAGGTGGAAGTCATTGAAGAAGCAAGCCAAAAAGATGAGAGAAGGTGGTGAGAATGCTCAATGCTAAGCTATTAATTTGGAAAATCAATTATTTTGATGATTAAAAGATCCGGAGTGTGCCTGTGGAAAGAAGTAACTAAGGTAGAGTAGAAACGGTCATGGAGATGAGGAGGGTAAGAAAATGAGAGGCCAAAGTGTGGAAAGGACATTGAATATTGAAGCCACCTGCAATGATGCCAGGAATTGGAGCAGAGCAGAGACTGTGAGTCTGATGCCAAAGTTTTTGATGAACAAAGGAGAGTGGTTAAGTGATGCTGGAAACTGACCAGCAGACCATGAGCGACAGATGAATGGATTACTCTGACACACACTTCTATGAAGGAGAGGCTAAGGGACTGTTTAGCTATAGGAGCAAACAGCCTCAACTGCCTGTCTCCTTAGGCTTTTATTGTAACAACAGCTTGAACTGAAATTAACTATTAGATACTATCAGCAGAGTAAGCATCTTTGAGAAAGCATATGTATCTGCAGTGTCCTTTAAGTAAGGATGTGTATAAGTAAATACCTGGGGGCTCAGATTTTGTTTGAAAAAGTCAAGGCAGGGGCTGCTGCCTTCAGCAAGGTCCCCCAGAGGCCTCCATCCTTTCAGAGATTCCCCCTTACAGACTTTCCAACCAAGTCTATGCTTCCAAGTCAATATTTTTTTGGACATTCCACCTCAGTTTGTTTTGCAAGTTTATCTTGCTTAATTCATTCTTTGAATGTTGGTTTCCTTCATGTTTCAGCCCTATTCTTCTAGTCACTTACATACACCCCAGATAGTTTCATGCATGCTCAGAATTTTAATTACAGTATTTGCTGATGACTCTCAAATCTTTATCTGGAACCTGAATTCTCTCCATATCTACAATACTGTACATATATAACTCTTTGTATGTCTACTGTCCACCATTTGCCCTGGTTAGAATTGTAAACATCAGCTTTTAATCTCTCTCTCTCTCTCTCTCTCTCTCTCTCTCTTTCTCTCTCTCTCTCTCTGGGTCCAAACCACTTCTTAAATCTCTTTCATATCTCTCAACTTCTCTTCATTCCTTGATTTAAATAATCATTCTTGTTTGGATCATTCCAACAGCTTCTTAAAAAAAAAAATCAGAGAGGTCTTGAGAGGGAGAGAGAGATGAAGACATCAATAATGAGAGAGAATCATTGATTGGCTGCTTCCTGCACGAGTACTGGGGATACTGGGGATGGAGCATGCAACCTGGGCATGTGCCCTTGATCGGAATCAAACCTGGGACCCTCCAGTCCACAGGTTGACACTCTGTTCCCTGAGCCAAACCAGTAGGGCAATAGCTTCTTAACTATACAGCTGACCCTTGAACAATAGGGGCTTGAACTGCATTGGTAGGTGGATTTCCCCCGCCCCCCCCCAAATAAATATACTGCCAACCCTTCATACACCCAGGTTTTATATCTTCCCAATTCAACCAACTGCAGATGGAAAACAATAGTTTTGATCTGTGGTGGGAACCCACGTTGCGGAGGAACAATTGTATGCATTGTTCCATACCATTTTATAGACAAGACTTGAGCATCTGTGGAGTTTGGTACCCATGTGGGTCCTAGAACCAACTCCTTGCAGGTTCAGTTAAGTTTTTAGGGAGTCAAAAGTTACATGTGAGTTTTCCGCTGTGGGGGTGGAGCAGTTGGCGCCCCTAACCCCTGTGTTGTTCAAGGGTCAATTGTATTTCTAACAACATTTCATTGCTCTGATCCGTTTCCAAATGCAGACAGAGTGATTTCAATTTTGTCTGCCCCCATTGATAAAAATCTATAATGGCTCCTCATAGCCTTCAGCATAATGCTCCAAATTCTAACAAGGATAGGAGTTGCCTTCAGTATTTGACAGCGGGAAGCTCATCTCTTCTCACTCCACCCTACTGTCTAGGCTCACATCATGCTGCCTCTAATCTTTGGGGTCTTGCTTAGGCTGGCACCTCTCACTAAAATACTTTTCCATCTTTTCCTTGCTCCTTTCCCCCATCATTTCTGGTTTTCAGCTCCTTATTCCTACTGTCCATTGGTTCTTAGCTCAGATATTACTTTCTCTGGGAAATTTCTTTGTTCCAAAGGTTGAGTTGTGTGGCTCTTCTACATGCTTTTATAGCACCTTGTACTTAATCTTGACCTTTATAAAATTTAACCTATTGAGATTAATGGAACTCATATTCTTTCATTTAAAGGGTGGTATATCTATAGGATGTGAACAAATGTAAATGGGATAATGAATTGCTTTTTCTTCTTAAGTAAATATAAAGTATTAAAACATAATGTTTCAGGCTGCATAGGGGAAAAAACTCTTTCTAATAGATACAAGGATATACTAAGCTTCATTTATTTAGAGATTTACAATTATTTAGAAGTTCTTATTTAGTAGGTAAGAGAAGATAATTTGCCTTTTCCAGTTCATATATATACAATATTATTAGAGGCTATATATATATATATATATATATATAGCCTCTAATAATATATATATTAGAGGTCCGATGCACAAAATTCATGCAAGAGTAGGCCTTCTTCACCCCTCCCCCCCACCTGCCCCCCCACTGCTGTCACTGGCTTCCTTCTGGCACCTGAGACCCGGGCTTCCCTCCAGCCACCAGGAAGCACCCAGAACCCAAGCTTCCCTCACGGCCCCAGCTTCGTCTGGAGGGACGCCTGGTCTAATTAGTATATTATGCTTTTATTAATATAGATGGCTGATTAATAGAAATTGATTAGCAAAGGAGAAGGGGATGCTAATGCAAGCTTGAAGTTTAAGACTTTCACTTAAAACCTAATTAGATAAGCTCCATCTGTCGTTTTTGGTCTTCACCTCTGTTCTATAAATAGGAAGAAACCAAGACATACTTCATCACTTCCAACCAGTGACACTCTGGAGTGCTAAGGAATGGAGCTGAACCAGGGACCGTTAATGGTAAGGCATCTGGGCTCAGTCAGAAAGGGTAAAACGTATTTTAAAATAAGAGTCATTATGACTCAGTTATCGCATTTATACAAGAAAAAAAAATCACAGAAACACAAGAAATCAGATTTTTGAGAATTTCAAGAGAAACATTTCCTTCCTCAACCCAAGTTTAAATTACAGTATAAATATTTTTAAATCTAATTTAGAAACTTTTATTTGTTTTTTTAAGAGAGTATTACTCTTTGTGTACTTTGTATAATAACTAAGTTATTAATATATTTACTAGAGCTACATGCTTTGTACTTGTGTTTGGTAAGAGAGTTCTCACCCAAATGTGCTCTGATCACGATTTTGTTCACTGTTGCTAGGTAACAGTTAACAGCACTTTTAGAGCTGTTTGCCTTTGCACTTAGAGCACTGGATAGATAGAGAAGGCACAGAAAGATTTCGTCTTGTCTGTGGCCAAGTTTTCCATCAGCAATGGAAATCATAGCATATCTTTTTAAAAAGTTTTATTTCAACCAGAATGTTATCTGAGAACTTTGTTTAACCAATAATTTTATTAGCAAAGCTTTACATCTCCGTCTTGAATTCAATGCTTTCATTTAAGAATATCTAGGAGGAGAGCCACAATTTTAACTGAGTCCGACCTATCATACGCATAAAATTTATTCACTTTGTAAAGCTGCACTTCTTACCAAACTCAATACTTTGAAACAAGATGTTGAAGTCAATGCCAAAACTGCATAGAGTACTCATCCTCTTACAGTGTTTGGAACTAAGCATTTGGAGTTTTTCAGACTGTTTTGTTTGTTTTAGTTGTGCATTTTAGTGAAATCGAATCTTTAACATGTTGTAACTAATGATTAAATTGCCTGCTGTGAAAATTTTTTCTGAAATAATAAGTAACTCACATTTTTCTGTAGCAAACCAGAGTTTTTCCAGAAATTGCTGGGTTTGCTTATTTGTACTCATTACAGTGGTAAAGAAGTCATGGATTCTCTCTCATCATCAATGTTTCTAACACTCTCTCCCTCTCTGAAATTAATAAAAACATACTTTTTTTTTTTTTTTTAAAGAAGAAGTCAGGGAATTTCAGAGAGATTTAAACTAGGGTCACTGTGCTAAATTCCTGAGGATCCCACAGCTCAGTCTGCAGAATAAAGTACTCTGAACATATAAAAGATCACTGAACGATTTAGGTTTCTGTTCTGGATCTCTCACTCAAAGGAAAAAATAGCAATGCAGCCTCTCTCCTCTTTCATCAGCTACTAATTACAAAGTAAACAGCTCTCCACTACAGTGAGGCTCTGGGGTGGGATGACAGGTCAGCGCTACACTATTTTTAGAAGAAAAAAAATTTGAAGTAATTTGTTCTTGTAAATTTTGTATACATTAGAAGAACTGACAAGCCTGGAGATTCCCAAGCATTTTTTCTGGCCCCTCGGTCTACCACATTCATTGAACATTTCCCATTTTCCCGCCCCCAGTCTTTCATCATAGACTAAAGCACAAATTCCTGAGGAAAATGAATGATGACAGCAGAGTTGATAGAATAATTGGAAGCTCATTCTTAGTGTCCAACAGACCTTCCACTTTAAACAAGTGACCTACATCTTTTATAAATTAAAATGTTTAATTGGTGAGTAGTGGCTCTTACCTCGTTTTTTTTTCTTTCTATTTTGAACAAAAATTCCAAATATATTTAAAAAGTATAAGGATAGTATAATGAGTCCCCTATTTCTGTTCACCTAAGAGTCACCAGATTCTTAGCATTTTGCCATACCTGTTCTCTTTCTATCTCTTCCCCCCATTCCTTCTCACTATACACTTATTAATCGTAATTGTATTGCTACATATATGTATATATATGTACTTATTAGAAGTGAATTTAGTACTAGTATTTTTGTTGAACTATTCTCCTATATAACCACAATATAATTAGAAAATTTGGGAAATTTTACACTGATAAATTATTGTTTTCTAATATTCAGTCCACATTTAGATCTTGCCAATTGTTTCAGTGACATTCTTTATAGAAAATTTTTAAAAATCTAACATCCTTAGAAAAAATAGTGTTTTTCTTTTATAAATAAATAAATGCATTAAGAATAAAATAAAATTAGTACTTTAAATAAAAAAAATCTGAAGTCCAATCCAAGATTACACTTATCATGAATACTATATTTTAAAAATTATTTTATTCTACCTAAAATTAGAAAGTGCAAGTGATGTCATTGTGTGGAAAAATTAGTAATTTAATACTTATGGTACCAATAAAATAATATTAAAACTATCAGAGGAAATTTTAAATCAAATTTTCAATGCAATGTCAATTAATATCTATGTTGTCTAAAATCCCGAAGATTTTACAAAAGCTTTTATGGTTCTTGCTCTCAAGTAACTCAGAGTGCAGATGCTTAAACAGATGTAATACCTAACTAAAAACTGGCTAATAAAAGCCATTATATCCATTATCTTTTGCTACAAAACAAGCCTTTTTAAAAATAAATCGTTATCGTTCAGATTACTACAGTTGCTCTTCTTTTTTGCCCCCATAGCTCCCCTCCACCCCCATGCCCTTACCCTCCCCATGTCCTTGTCCATAGGTATAAGATTTTTGTCCATTCCCTTCCTGCACCCCCACACCCCTTTCCCCCTGAGAATTGTCAATCCACTCCCTTTCTATGCCCCTGATTCTATTATATTCACCAGTTTATTCTATTTTTCAGATTTTTTTTTAAATTTTTAAAAAAATATATTTTATTGATTTTTTACAGAGAGGAAAGGAGAGAAATACAGAGCCAGAAACGTCAATGAGAGAGAAACATCGACCAGCCGCCTCCTGCACATCCCCCACCAGGGATGTGCCCGCAGCCAACGTACATGCCCCTGACCGGAATCGAACCCGGGACCTTTCAGTCCACAGAC